GCGCCATGGAGCTGCTCAAGGTCTCCCAGGACAAGCGCGCCCTCAAGTTCATCAAGAAAAGGGTGGGGACGCACATCGGCACCAAGAAGTGTGAGGAGCTGAGCAACGTGCTGGCCGCCATGAGGAAGGCAGCTGCCAAGGACTGAGACCCTCTGGAATAAGGCTTTGCAGAAAGTTAAAAAAACCAAACTGAATTTGGTACAGGGTCTCACTATACAGCTTGGATTCAGCTATCTTCCAGTTTTCAGCCTCACCAGTGCTGGGATTATGAAAAGCTGAGGCAGAAAACTTACTGCAAGTTCGAGGCCAACCTGAACTACAAATGGAGACCCGGCCTCAAAAAAAAAAAAAAAATTGGAACAAACAAGATTTCATATGTATAAGAAGCCCTCCAAATAAACATATTAGGGTATATTTTGCAGGGCTTTTGATATACATATATACACAGACTTGGTGTTCTCTTCCCTTTCTTTTTTAACATTTGGAGTTTGCTTTTTAATTTTTTAGTGGAACCGGGGATTGAACTCAGGCCCTTGCGCTTGGCAGGCAAGAGTTCCCTTTCTTTTTAATGCTGGTGACTGAACCCAGGGCATTCCCTCTGAGCCACATCCCCAGGCCACCCCCCACTTTTTTTTTCGGTACTGGAGATCAAACTCAGGGCCTTGTGCTTGTGAAGCAACAGCTTGTGCCACTGAGCCATCTCCCCGTCCCTTCTTTTCTTTTCTTTTCTTTTTTTGTATCAAGAATGGAACTCAGGGGGCTGGGGGGATGGCTCAGTGGAATAAGTGCTTGCCTGGGAAGCGCAAGGGCCTGAGTTTGATCCCTGGTACGACAAAAAGAAAAAAAAAATTTTGGGGGGGCAGGGGTGATGGCTCAGTAGAATAAGCACTTCTCTGGCAAGTACAAGGGCCTGAGTTCAATCTCAGGTTCTGCCTCCCCCCCCAAAAAAAAAGAATAGAACTCAGGACCTTGTGCTTGCAGGCAGGTACTGTGCCCTGAGTTATATCCCTAGCCGCGCCAGCCCTTTTCTGAGACATGGTCTTTGTTGTCAAGTCCTGAAGTGGCCTAGGCTGAGGTCTAACTTGGCATCTTCCCGCCTCAGCCTTCCGGAGTCCTGGAGTCCCAGACACGCACCAACAAGCCCAGCTTTTCTCTTCTTCCTTTTTTTTTTTTTTTAAAACATTGTGTGTGTGTGTGTGTGTGTGTGTGGCCAGCTCAGCCCACCAGGGGGCGGGGCTGGCTGGCATGTGGTGCTGGGGGATCGAACCGCAGTCCCTGTGCTTTGCCAAGCTTGTTCCAAGTAGGTGCTTTAGACCACTGAGCCATCTCACCAGCCCCTTCTCTTCTTCCTTTTGAATTTTTCTTTTTTTTTTTGTGGAACCGGGGATTGAACTCAGGCCCTTGCGCTTGCTAAGGAAGCCGCTTATTCCACTGAGCCATCTCCCCGTCCCCTCCTTTTGAATTTTGGAAAAAAAAAAGTAAGAGGCTGAGGAGATGGTTCAGTAGAATAACAAGGGCCTGAGTTCAATCCCCGGTTCCACCAAAAAATAAAATAAAATAAAAAATAAAAAAAAAAATTTGACGTAGGGACTTGCTTTGCAGCCCTGTCCTGGTCGTCTCAGCTTCCCTCGCTAGGCTTAACCCCAGTGCCCCTGTGCTGGGGCCTGACTGTATTTGACTGATGCGTGCATCAGTGAGCAGAATTCTTTCCCTCTGGGGTGTTGAGTGCGGGGCCTGGCTTACGCTGGACTCTGCAAATGAGAACGGAGCCGCTTCTGGGTCTGGTGTCTGCCAGGGACGGGACCCTATCACTGTCAAGACCCGCACCGAGAGACGACACTACCCGCAAGCCCCTTTACAGTTCCGGAGCGCGGCGCCGTCCGTCTCGCAGGCAGGACGTGAAGCCCGCGGGGTCCCCGTCCAGCAGGGCCGAGCGGCCCCTTTAAGGATCGGGCGGGGCGGGGCGCGCTATTTTTAGCGCGGCGGGGCCACGTGACAGTGACGTCGCCGAATGTTGTTGTTGGTGGCGGCGGCGAGCGCAGCCCAGCGCCGCGAAGATGGAGGAGCCGTCGAGGGGACGCTGTCGCCGCTGTCGCCGCCACTGCTGCCGCGGCCGTCCGCGGGCCCGGAGCGCGAGCTGCCGGGGGTG